TGTCTATATCTTCAATCTCTCTGTCTGCTATTCAGTCGTTGCCATCACTTTATTTGCCGTCTTATATTCCATAAGAGCGCCATTCTAGCAACCGCTAGGACGTTCAACAAGTTCCTCGATCTTTCTAGATACTCATTACGTGTTACCAGCGTCACGTGGCCTTCGCTGTCGTAACAATATGTATATCAAACGTTAGGCCTATGTCAGTCGTTAGGCCTATCATTTTTACTTAACTTCACACCAACTATATTATGTTTGCTCTTATCTGTCTAATACTCTCTGTTTATTGCTTCCCGCTCACGCTATTTATATCTTTATTACATAGTCGTATGGTCACTTTCTATATTATCCAAACCAATTAGTTATTAACAAAACCTTCTACAATCGCCTGCTTTTAACTCTTATCATAACAAAACTTAAAAATAATAAAATATTCTCTCACAAATGTAAATTAATCATTAATATTTAAACCAAACAGTCTTTTATATTGTTACGACAACGGAAGTCACGTGACGCTGAGCTTGACTTTTCCTGGCAACTCTAGTCTGTTCTAGGCGCCCCTTTTTTTTTTTTTGTATATAAGCCCGGCAAATAAAGCGGAGAAAAAAATTGCAGATATAGAGACAGATAATTGAGTCAAGCGAGCGGTACTGATGGTAATATAAAGTGTGTGTTTTGTTATCGAGATTGCAAATGTATTGGCTGTGGAAATTCTGCGTATTGCAAAGTTGTATCGAGAAAGAATAAACTAGTTTTATTAAGAAAAGACTTGTATCGCTGAAGTTTCTCGGAAAGAATTTCTACGGGAAATTAACAAACAAGCAGATACGCAACAATATCATGACAATCTGTATCATCCCTATATTCATATTTGCATTCTTTATGGCACTGCCATCCCTACATCATGTTACATTTACAAAATGCTTTTAATACTTGTTTTGTAACTTTCTTATCCCTGACTGAAAGTTAGTGTATTCTATAAATGTATGGAATAAAATATAATATTATGTGTATTGATTTAACTTGATACATAATATAGGGATTGGCTCCCTAAAGACATCGATTATATAGTGTTCAAAGCACTGAGTATTCTATATGTTACAGTTATCTAATGTTCATTTATTATTGGCTGGTAATTCCTGTTTTGCCCTGTACTTAAGCTTTTTATAGGAACATCAGGTTTATATAAAAATGTTAACTTCAAGTGGTAATGATAACATCGTTTGCATTAGAATTATGATTTTTTAGCTTATACTAAGCACTACTGTGCTCAGTGGTAGCCTATTCCCAAGTACTCTTAAAATGCTTCTCTGTCGTACAAAAGCCAATGGAAAAACTTCACACATTCTTTGGCTATCGTGGAAAAAGAAAGACGAACACTTTGTCTCTTTAGCAGGTTCTCAGTTCTCCACTTTACCAACAGTTTTCAAGAACACTGGCATGGCCAGGTAGTTAGGGCGCTTGACTCGCAATCTGCGGGTCGCGTGTTCGAATCCCCGTCACATCAAACATGCTCGGTGTGGGCGTTATAATGTGACGGTCAATCCCACTATTCGTTGGTAAAAAAGTAGCCCAAGAGTGGGTGGTGATGACTAGCTTCCCTCTAGTCTTACACCGCTAAATTAGGGACAGCTAGCGCAGATAGCCCTCGTGTAGCTCTGCGCGAAATTCATAACAAACAGATTGAATGCGGTAGCCATTTGTTTCTCGGACCATCCCAACATAATAACGTAAGAATAATATATTTAGTTACCTATACCAGTTAATAGGTTGATTTGTATATCGGGTCTATGTAAGTAACTTTATTTGATCAGAAGTTAATGTTACTTACTACGGGATGATTATAAAGAAAAGGGAATAAATTTCGCAAGAGGCACGCCGATAATCATAAGCGTTATTCGTGAAAATTTAAATCAGCAAGAACGTTTATCTATTTATCTATAGACAATAAATGAAATATCTTTGTCAAAGAGACAGTTGAAGTATGCAAACGATTCTTAGAGATATGGGAAATATGTGGTAATAAAATATAATGTTGTTCATTTTCACGCATTGTTTAAATTAACTTAATGGGTTTTGTAATAAATGCAGGTGCCAGGCAGTAGGGGGGGGGGGGGAGTAAAGCATACACAACGTTGTGTTTTTGTTGTTTCTCTCTATTATTTCAAAGTCATGAACGTTCTGTGCGACGTAATACATTTATACTACGATCGGTGTGATGACAACGTTTTGGTAATGACAGGAAAACAGGCATGAATAACGTTGATGTCAAATATTATTAGGAATTAATCACACTATCACTCACATTTCAAAATGTGACGTAGCTTAAAGAATAAAAATGTAGATTTACCGTATGTTATTGTTGAGTGACGCATGACTGAAATGTTCAATAATTACTTTTCGTGGTAAGCGCTATAAGTAGCTAAGAGCTTTGACTCTGAGTGAAACCAAGTATACAACACAATTAATTTTTGTTAAAGTCCATGATATAATTCAAATCGATAGTTTAAGTGAAACTTTTCCCGTCACTGGGGACTGGTACTTCTGCTAGATTAACTTAAGCTTTTCCTATAATTGAGAACGGATATATATATATTATATATATAGCCCGCAAAAAAAAAACAGCAAAAAAACAAACATTCAAATGTCTTAAGATCAAAAAGTAAAACTTTAACAATGCAACATTGTTAGTTCTATCTTCAAATAATGTTAAATTTAACGTCAAAATTGAAACACAACAGTTAAAAAACAAACAGTTGCCTTTTCTGATCCTACAGTTAAACAGTTTCTCTTAAAACTCATGGGTTTGCGTAGAACCAAAATTTTCAGAGCTTTCTTTTCTTTTGTGCAATAACACAAATTGATAACTTGTTTCTTTATGAAAGTGTTGGAAAACATGTCCTCGTCAGAAGTATGATCTGAATTACCACTTCAAACGCCTGTAATTATTTTTGTCAACATTTTACCGAAGAACTCTTGATATAAATCAATCACAATACTTTCGTTTTCGGAAAGAAAAAAACAAACAAACGAAAAGCTGTATATATAATACATTTAATCGTGATTACGGCTGCTATATTCTGTGTTAAAACTCTCAGAGCCATGTACCCACTGTGCATGCAGCACGTGACTGGTTTGTCTGTGAATAGAACATCTTACTAAGTTGCACGCCTAAGCCGTATGTACAAAAGGTATGATTATAGACTATTGTTGTAAATGAAAGAGACCTAATTAATAGCTTAACAGTCGTGAATGAGAATAACTACAAGTACCTACGAAGCAAACGAGTGTGTTTATGCTGTATTTATTTAGTCATAAAATTGTAAGAACCTACAAGTCTATAGATTAGAAACAAATTACACAAAATGAGGATGAAAGTATCAATGATCTATCTATCTATCTATA